GACGACACCTTGGGAGACGGCAGCGCGGCACGGTGTATACAAGCCGATCTTGAATGTCGCCCCTCCCGTGCGCCCGACGGAGCAGCCGCCGACCTCGGCTGGTGCGCCGCCCGCGCCAGGCACGGCGTAGAAAGCCAGCGCGTCCTCGAAGGCTGCCAGCGCAGGCTTGTATGCCTCTCGGAGAACCCAATCAGAGAGAGAGAGATGGGGAGAGAGAGAGAGAGAGAGAGAGAGAGAGAAAAAAAAAACAAAAAAATAAGAGAGAGAGAGAGAGAGAAAGAGAGAGAGCCAGGGAGACAGAGAGAACGAGACAAAAGAGAGAGAGAGAGAGAGAGGACAGAGACGCAGAGGCAGGTGGAGAGAGAAAGATATAGAAAGAGAGATAGACGGTGAGAGTGAGGGGGGAGAAAACACGGACAGAAAGAGAGAGAGAGAGAGAGGGAGAGAAAGAGAAAGAGAGAGAGAGAGAGACAAAAGGAGAGACAGGGAGAGAGAGAGAGAGGGAGAGAACGAGACCGACATATAAACAAGAACACAGGGAGAGGGAGGGTAAACGAGGAGGGAGGAGGAGAGAGAGGGACAAAATGAGCACACACATATACACGCAGATAACCTTATATATATATATATATATATATATATATATACGCGTATGTACATATTATATATACATATATGTGTGTAGGGGGAACAACAAGAGCATGAAACCAAATAAACACAACGTGTAATATAAAAAAGGAGGAGTGGAGAGAGAGAGAGAGAGAGATAGGGGGAAAAAAAAAAACGATAACGAAAACGATATCCGCTGGTGCCCGGATGCGCGGGGACCACGTGCTTCGAGGCCAGAGCTGAAGGCACGATTCGTGGCTCGGATTAGGGCTGGGACCTGTGTATAAAGGATGGACACACTGCATAACATGCACTCTTGGAGCTCCGCGCGGAGTCCTTGAACCTGTGCTGGACAGGGGCGGCGCCAGAGGCGCCAGGGGGGGGTCCAGCGCAGATCCAAGAAATCCGCACCGAACTGCAAAAGTTAATGCTTACGCTGTATTCTTCTTCGAACGCATCCAGGCCTCAAAAACCCTCTGGGCGGAAGTGGTCTAAGTGCTTCCTCTTCCAACCTCCGTCTTCCCCTTCGGGGAGGCGTGTCTCTCTGCTCCTTTGTGAGTAGAACATCCCGCCCTCGCCCCTACCCGACCAGCTCCAGTCCAGAGACAGAGCCCCCCCACCCACCCCCACAACCCCTGCCAACCAGAACAATACACAATACACGCTGCGATAGATTCTAGATCATGTGCGAGCACCCCGCGATCACCGTGCACTGTTTTTCACAGAAATGAAGGGGGGGGGATCATGTTACCCTGTGCGCGCTGCCAAAACAAACTGAAAGTCAACGTTGCGGCAAAATCTTGGACCATGCGCGAGCGCTTCGCGATCACACTGCATTGTTACTAGAACCACGTGCGCGTTTCGCGCGCGATTAGGTTCTAGGCGACGCCGACGACATTGCCTGTAGGCCTTACACGATCCGATGAATACGGATACGGCCGGATGCAGAACAAAAGAGCATCCTTCAAGAACATGTGACCCTCCGCCGGCCAAACTGAACAAGAGCATTCGAGGGTAGCGGCCCCCAGGATGCACAATAGCAGCCAACAAACACTACGAGCAAGAGGGTTCCCCCCCCCCCCCGAACCGGCCTCGATCTCATACCTCGACCCGACCGTACCAAGGGAGAGCTCCTCAGGCACACACCACCTTTGTCGCGCGGGCGGGCGGGGCCTTCCGCGGGGTGGCTCCGGGCTCCGTGGACGGGCGCAGGGGGCCGTCGGAGAGCGCCGCGGAGCGCGTCGTGCGGCCCCGAGAGGTCCCCGGGCTGCGCAAAGGACGGCCAAGGTAGGCGGAGGTCGCATATGATGCGAGCCGCCAGGCCGCTGCCGCCGCAGCCGCCGCCGCCGCCAGTCGTCGTAGTCTCTGGGGGTGTTGGTGCGTGCTGTGTTTCCCTGGCGCCTCCAGTGGCCTCTGCAGGCCGTCGGGGCTCGTCGTCGTTGTCGTCGTGGTCGTGGTCGTTGTGGTCGCGGTCGCGGTCATCATCGTCACCGTCAATGTCGCCAGTCAAGAATCGAGAAAGGAGGAGAGGTTGTTTTATCATCTTGCACAGCTGCGTTCTAGAGCTCAGCGCCCTTCCTTAATCGTGGTTCCTTCCTTCGTTTGTCCGTCAGCCATTTGCCCTGGCCCCGTTCCCAGGGCCTCTTGGACCCAGGGTCCCTCGTTTTTGTGGCTCGTTCGCTCGTTTGTTCGTCGTCCTCCCCTTGGCTCCGCCCGACCCCAGACTCTGGCCCCAGAGCCTCCTATTTTCGTGGCTTGTTCGTTCAATTGTTCGTCGGCCCTGCCCCCTGGCTCCTGCCCCCTGGCTCCGCCCCCAAGCCTTCCTGGCCCCACCAGCACCGCTAGACAGCTTCTTGACGCGGGGAGGCGGCGGAGGAAAAAAAAGAGGCGATGATGGTGGAGGACGAGGAAGACAAAGGAGGGGCGACAGAGAAAATAGGAGGGGGTGGAGACAGAGCCAGGGGATACACAGAAATGGGGACGCGAAAGACGGTGGACAGGTGGACGGAAAGGAGGCGGAGGAGGAGGAACACGACGACGACGACGATGGACGATGGAAAACGTGGGAAGGAATGGAAAGGAAAAGGTCTGGAGAGATGGGGCAGGAGGCAGGAGGAGGGGGGGAGGTTGAGGGGCCCTCAACTGGGGCCCTTCGCCGCATCGGGAAGAGGAGGAAAGAGGGAAGAGGAGGCAGGAGGGAGGGACCGCTGGACGGGCGACGGGGGAAGAAAAACAGGAGGAGGAAATAGGAGAAGGGGGACACAAGGAGGGAGCTCGGAGGCAACTCCTGGGAGGCAGGAACAAGGGCGGTTGCGCCGATGAAGGGGACATGACGCCGCGGCAGCCCATGTGAAGAGTAGGATTGAGCCAGAGCGCGCAAGCAAGATTTCAACGGAAACATGCCAGACCAGGCCAGTTGTGACAACGGATATAACAGCGCCGACGAAGAATTTAACAACATCGCAGGCGTGGCATGCTAAAGGGAGGAGGGGGGAGGAGGAGGAGAAGGAGAAGGAGGAGGAGGAGGAGGACAAGGAACAGAATTGATCGATCGAGCTCTCGGGCCTGTTCGGTGCCACTCTCGCCTCTAGGACATCGCAGCTTAAAATCCTGAGTGGCCTGGCTGTGATTATGTACCTTCCCGAGAGGGGGTCGCAAGCGTCAAAACGCTCGGGCCCTACCTGCCTCGACCTCCCCAACGCAAAAGGTCTGCGGGCAGGGTAGCACCCGCTTCACGGGTGCCCTCTCACTCGCGCCTCCCCGATCCTGCTCGGACCCCCTCATCCCCTGCCCTCTCGCTTCGGTTCGGGGGGGGAAGATCGGTAAACTACAGAAGACTCGGGAAGTCTCGGGCCACGGAATTCGAAGAAGTCGGGACTCTCGGTCGAAGGGGGAGGAGCTGGGAGCCGGCCTTCCCTAGCGAGCGTAAGGGAACTTTCGCTCGTTCTGAATACCTGCGGAATGGCGCGGGCGTGCTGCTTGCTTATGGTCTTCGGCCTCACCCTCGCCACGAAGTCTCTGAATCGGCTCACGTGCGTCTGTTACCCTCCTGCCTGCATATCACGGGCCCCAACGGCCAAGCGCGAGGGTTGCGTCGCAGGAGGGCGCACCCGCACCGCGTCTCATCTCTCACTGTCATCTGGCGCCGCTTGCGTCGTGCGAGCCCCTACGGCCAAGCGCGCCTGCTGCGTCGCAGCGCCAGGCGCACCTGCTAGCGTCTCGCGAGCCCCTACGGCCAAGCACGAGTGTTTCGTCGCGAATGCACCGTCTAGCTCGCCTACTGGCTGCTGATCAGGCGCCCCAGTTCTCGCGCCAGTGCGCCCCTCGGTGCCGATCCCAGCTTGCGTGCTGATCCGTCCTTGCGATGCTGCTTCGCGATGGTGTTCTCGAGCTGGTGATGCGTCGCCTTGACCTGGAGCTGGAGTCGGTACCTCTCCTGGGCTCCTCCTTCTTTGTCCCCGTGCTTGCGCATCCTGAAGAGTGGACTGGTGTCCGAGACCTGCTCCGCGTTACCATGCAAGGTTGCGCCCCCGTAGCGCGTCTCGACGTAGTCCTTCTTCGCCCCCTGCTCTATGGCGCGCCCCACGTCGTTTACCACGTCGGTCCACACGCGGATGAGCGGATTGCCGAGCGACGCCGTGTCCGCTTGCTCTCCCTGTCCTGCGCGTCGCAGTATGTCTTGTGCTGCTTCGTTGTATTCTCGCCCAGCGTCCCAGCGCTGCTTTGACGATCCCGTTGTTGGCGTCCATCTCCCACGCTAATTCTCCTGCTACCTGGCCAACGTGTGACGGAGACCCGCCGTGACGTCGACCACCTGCTCTTTGGGCGCTGCTGCTCCTCCTCCTCCTTCCGCTCCTGCTGCTGCGCCCCCGAGTATCCGGCGTACCTGTCGGCTGCGGTCTTGTCGATGCGGTCCTCCTGGTACCTGCGCTGCCGGCGTCCACTGCAGGCGCTGACCGAAGAGCGCCATCGCCCCTGTGAGGCAGTAGTATCGGCCTCGGCAAGCGTGCGCAGAGATGCTGGAAAACGGAGCCCTTGTATCATGCGAAATGGCTGCAGATCCGGCACTGTTTCTGCGGCTTCGTAGGAGGAGCAGGAAGGGGGAGGAGGAGGAGGAGGAGGAGGAGGAGGGTCTGGGGGTCTGACTAAATCGAACGGGCCGGGACCCGAACGCTCAGCGCTACGGCCGCGAAAACCTCGGCGCCCCCGACGGGAGGGCTGTCCACTCCCGCCAGCGCCAGGCGGGCGAACCCACCACCACGGCCCCAAAGGGGCCGAAAACCAGGAGACCCGAAAGGGGAGCCCGACCCCAAGGACGGCCAGGACCACCGCTGACTGAAGCAGACCTCCCCCCCGCAGCCCCCTCAAGCCTGAGAGTATTTCCCGACCTC